TTTTTTTAAGATGACTGAAAGGAGGAAAAACCAAAGTGAAGTATGGACTTACTTCACTCAGTCATTTATTTACTTTATAACAGTAAATAAATATCAGTTCTGCATATCGGTTATCGGGCACATAAACATGCAAATAATTGGTATCGGTTATAAAATATCAATATCGGTCGATCACTATTGAGGACCAATATGATGATAGCTTTGCATTCTTCAGTGTCATTTTTTGTGTGTGTATTAGTATTTGATTGATATTGTCTGTTTCTTTGTAATGATCATGAAGGGTTGTTTGTTTTGTCTACAGTCAGTGTTGGTGTTGGGGAGCCAGACTTCGTCCTTGGGCAGCTGTACCAGCTCTCAACTACTCAGGCTCCTGAAGTGGCCAAATCATGGGCTGCTCTGGCCAGCTGGGCGTACAGATGGGGCAGGAAGGTTGTGGACAATGCCAGGTATTTTAACTGTGAAAAGTGTTAATGATAGTTTAAAAAATGATGTGCTTATACTGATTTTTTTTTTTTTTTTTCATTCTGTGTGTTGATAGTCAAGGAGAAGGGGTTCCTTTACTCCTTGGAGAGAAGAAAGAAATTGAGGACTTGCTCCCAGCAGGCACCAGTGATGAGGACAAGGAAACCATTTTTGGCATTTTGGGTCAAGCCATGTGTCGCCCAGCAGGAATTCAGGTTATGGAGTTCACAGTTTGTATAAATGAGTTTAGATCAGTGGTTTTCATACTGTGGTACACTACACACTAGGGAACTATGGAAATATAATACTAGAAAACAGACATTTCATTTAAATATACTACTGTTCAAACGTTTGGGGTTGGGTTTTTTTTATTTTATTTTATTAAAAGTACTGGGAAAACAGTAATACTGGGAAATGTTACAATTTAAAAATGATTTTTTTCTATTTTAATATATTTTTAAGTAATTATTAATTAGTTGAACAGAGCAGCGATGATGTCATTGTCATGGCAACCCTCCGTCTGCTGCGCTTGCTTGTGAAGCACGCTGGGGAGTTAAGAGAGGGTCTGGAGCACGGCCTGGCATCCACCCCCACTGCACCCTGGAGAGGTAAGAACTTGAACATCAATGCAGTAATGAACACCTTCCTCTTTACATGTAGTTAGTTATCTCAGTCCGTGTAATATTAATATGTCTGTTTTCTCTCTAGGTATCATCCCTCAGTTATTCTCCAGACTAAATCACCCTGAGGCTTACATCCGCCAGAGCATCTGCAGCCTGCTGTGTAGAGTGGCCCAAGATTCCCCCCACCTAATCCTCTACCCTGCCATTGTGGGATCTATCTCTCTCGGCGGAGAGGCTCAGGCTGCAGGTATGTACTGTACTTCCACACAGGGACATCCTGTCTACCTTAGGCCATGTGTCCACCAAAGCATTTTAGCCAGCTGAAAATGCCAGGCGATCTTCTGAAAACTGGGGATGCTTGAGCACTTAGTAGCTGCCTACCTAGTAGACCCATGGTGATCGAAATGTTCCTCCAAACATTGTTTTTCATATTAATATTGTGGTAGACCGCCTATGTCATCTGGTACAGACATGGAGAAAATATTACATATTCATATTCAGAGACAAGTAATATTAACATTACAATTGTTATTTAGTTGTTGTACAAGTGATGGTTGGTTGATGGTTGGTTGGTTTGTCCCACTCCTCTTCCACTCTGATTGGATGGCTATCAAAGGTGATAGTGGCGAGTGCTTCTTTTTAAACCTGTGAAACCAAAACAACATCAAAGAACTAGCAGTGATGAAGTCAACTGTGTCGCCTGCATCCGGGCCAAAAAGTTGCACTTAAACATACTGTAGAGACTAAAGCAGAACACGCCACAAAAACTGGTCTCTTGCTCAACGACAGCCTGATATTAGTATTGGTATGTCACAGCCTTTACCCAAATTTGAAAATTTTTCAACTTTTAGCAACCAGAAAAAAAACGTAATAGTCTCATCCCTCTACTTGTTTTTTTTTTATTGAAGACAATTGAAAAATGCTCTGGCTTCAAGATAAAATGCTTTGGTGGAGACATTGCCTTAAACAACCAATCACTTCTCATTTTAGTGATCATATATAGAAGTTTAGCCTCTTTGGGGAAAAAAATAATGTTTTCATCTCTGCCAGGTAACAAGCTGCTGTCTTCCCTGCCAACCCTGCTTGGGAACATGCAGGGAGAGGCTCTTTGTGGAGGTGAGAGTGAGACGGGCAGCGGGCCAACTTCTCAAGAGAGCAGCCGTGGGGAAGAGATGGTGATGTATTCTAGTGAGGACCAAGCCATGATGCAGGACTGCTACAGCAATATCGTAGACAAGCTCTCTTCCGCCAACCCCACCATGGTGCTGCAGGTATTACAGAAAGGACTTTACTGTTCTGTGTGTCTGATTGTATTAAAGGCCATTGTGTTTAAGAGTTGTTTTGTTGATCCTTGTGTGTGCAGGTGCAGATGTTGGTGGGCGAGCTGAGAAGGGTCACTCTGCTCTGGGACGAGCTCTGGCTGGGGGTCTTGCAGCAGCAACACATGCACGTTCTGCGCAGGATTCAACAGCTGGAGGACGAGGTGAAAAGAGTTCAGAACAACAACACTCTGCGCAAGTAAGTCACGACCCTGGGAATCAATATAGAAGGAGAAACTTCATTAGTGAGTGACTCATACCTCTTGGAAAATCATTTAAATTCCCAATCTCTTGTGGTTTAGGGATGAGAAGGTGGCTATTATGAGAGAGAAGCATTCTGCTCTGATGAAGCCTGTGGTTTTTGCACTGGATCACGTGCGCAGCATCACGGCTGCTTCGGCAGAGACTCCTCACGAAGCGTGGTTTCAGGAGACATACGGAGAGGCCATCCACAATGCTTTAGAGAGACTGAGGAACCCTCTTAATCCAGCCAATCCTGCCAGCAGCTGGGTGCCCTTCAAACAGGTAAAGGCAGCTGTGTGCATAAGTGTTCTGAGGTAATGCTGTTATGCATGCTGTGCATTTTACCTTTTTGTAATTCTACCTCATCCTTTCACAGATCATGCAGAGCTTGCAGCAGAGAGCACAGAAACGGGCCAGTTATCTCCTGCTGCTTGATGAGATCAGCCCCCGCCTGACTGCCATGACCAACACAGAGATGGCGCTGCCAGGAGAGGTGTCTGCTACAGATGCAGTCACCATCCAGAGTGTGGGCAACACCATCACCATTCTGCCAACTAAAACCAAACCTAAGAAGCTCTACTTCCTAGGCTCTGATGGCAGAAACTATCCATACCTATTCAAAGGTATGAGATTTAAACGTGGCTAAAAGCATCACCAAAATGAATTTCCATCATTTACTCATCCTCATGTTGTTCCAAACCCATAAGACTTTTGTTCATCTTTGAAACACAAATAAAGAGATTATTACCTAAGAGATTTCTGTCCCTCCTTCTGAAGAGACACTTTTGCTTTATATGATGATGGTTTGGAACGATGTGAGGGTAATTAAATTACAGAATTTTCCCTTTAATACATGCCATTTGCTTATATAAGCATTTTCTTTGTTTTAGGATTGGAGGACTTGCATTTGGATGAGAGGATCATGCAGTTCTTGTCTATTGTCAACACCATGTTCACTAAAGTGAATCAACAGGAGAGTCCAAGGTTTCATGCCCGTCATTATTCTGTCACACCGCTGGGCACCAGATCAGGCCTTATCCAGTGGGTGGATGGAGCCACTCCACTATTTGGCCTGTACAAACGCTGGCAGCAGCGTGAGGCTGTGGTCCAAGCCCAGAAGGTGAGAGTGAAAAATGAGCATTTCTGAAAAATGTATATTCTTTTACGTAACGTGGTTTTACAGGATTATTGTGGTTAACTAAGACCATAAAAATTTGTTACATAATGTTATTTATTTTATTTTATAAAAATAAAATAAATTTTTTTTTTTATTGCAGCCCTATTGACTGGCTTCACGTTCAGTGAAGGAAAATACTCATTTATGTTAATGCACCTGATTATTTATTGTGAACATTTGTTAAATGTAAAGAGATGCATTTAAAAATGTTGACCAAATCTTGTACCTTTTCTTAAATTTAGGCACAGGACTCCTTCCAGCAACCTCAGAATCTTCCCATGGTTCCACGGCCCAGTGAGCTCTACTACAGTAAGATCAGTCCTGCCTTAAAGGCTGTCGGGCTTAGTTTAGATGTGTCGCGCCGTGACTGGCCGTTGAGTGTCATGAGAGACGTTCTCCGAGAGTTAATGGAGGCTACACCCCCTAACCTCTTGGCAAAGGAGCTCTGGTGCTCCTGTACCACCCCCAGTGAGTGGTGGAGTGTGACTCAGGTTAGAGGAACCACTGTTCACCTTGTCCTAACCATATTCGGCACAATGTTAGGCTAAACGCATTGCACTATTATTAACCAATCTTGGGTGTCTCATTTAGTCTTATGCCAGATCCACTGCTGTAATGTCAATGGTGGGATACATCATTGGTTTGGGGGATCGTCACCTTGACAACGTGCTGATTGATATGACGACAGGCGAGGTGGTACACATTGACTACAATGTCTGTTTTGAGAAGGGTGAGTGCTTATTCACTTGAGGATGAGGCCAAACATACTTTATTCGCATAGACATTTAAATACTTCATTGTCCTAACAGGAAAAAGCTTGAGAGTACCAGAGAAGGTTCCTTTCCGTATGACACACAACATTGAGACGGCTTTGGGGGTCACAGGGGTGGAGGGCATCTTTAGACTGTCCTGTGAACAGGTAAGAATGGGAATAATGCATTTAATGTTTAGTTTAGAACGTGCATACAAATTTGAATGGTGTCCTTTCCTTTCAGGTGATCCAGATAATGCGACGTGGAAGAGAGACCCTCTTGACTCTTTTGGAGGCGTTTGTGTATGACCCCCTGGTGGATTGGACAGCAGGTGGTGAGGTGGGCTTTGCAGGGGCTGTGTACGGAGGAGGTTGTCAGCAAGCAGAGAACAAGCAGAGCAAGAGAGAAATGGAGCGAGACATCACACGCAGCCTCTTCTCCTCCCGTGTGGCTGAGATTAAGGTGAGAATTCTGTGCAAATAGTACAGAAATGTACATTGGCCACTTAAATGTGAGGGGTGTGTGTGTTTTTTTTTATGCTGATTTCATTTCATTTGCTGTCTATAATAATGAATTTCCTGAACAATCCCACTTCATGACATTGCAAGGGTAAACAGGTAGTCCCTCCTCAAACTGTTGCCCCTGGTTGAGCCATGTTGCTATATCACATTTTTAGAGGAACCAAACTACTAATTGATTCATTTTAGTTGTTTCTACTTAAGCTTGTAAACACCATCAAAAAATGACACTTAAACTGGTTTATATCATCACAAAATGTAAACCGTTATCGCAGAGCTAATATAAAGTTGAATGTATATTATATCCCACTTTGTCTGCATGTATACAGTACACTCAAGTTAAGCGATTTGTACTATATAGTAAATCTTAACTGCTTGATTTGTTTCCTTACAAAATGTAACTATTATCACCCAGCTCTTTATATAAAGTTGGATATACATGTGTGTCCAACTTTATTCACATAGGGTAGAGTGATGGAGTGATTATGTACTATATAGCAAATCTCAACTGCTTTGGTACTTGTATTGTCGCAAAATGTAAACAGTATTATTGACCAGAGCTAATCTGCTAAATGCCATTATAAGACAAGAACATGTTAAGATATTATACACATTAACATTATGATTTTCTGTAAAGCTGCTTTGAAACAATGTATTGTGAAAAGCGCTACACAAATAAATTTGACCTGACTTGGTTTGCTAAACAAAAATTTTTTCTCGTTTCTCAGGTGAACTGGTTCAAGAATCGTGATGAGATGATTGGTGTGCTGCCGCAGGTGGAGGAGGAGGTTGATGAGTACCTAAACCTGCAGGAGCAGCTCACACAGGTGGAGAAAGTACAGGGCAAGCTGCTGGAGGAGATGGAGTTCCTGGAGGGAGCCGACACCAGAGCAGATCATCCCATCCACTCCCTGGAGCACAGGTCAGCAGATGAGACCACCAAAGTATTTTTTGGAAGGAATCATGTTCAGCTGGTCACGGTTATTGCTTGATCATTAATCATTAGTGTAGATTTGATGGGACAGATTATAAATTCTCAATGTCATTCTTTCTCCCATCCCTTTCCAGATACTCCGAGCACACTCAGTTGCAGTCCAGGCAGAGGACTGTACAGGATGCCATTCAGGGGAAGTTGTCAGATCTGGATCAGTGCATCTCTCAGTATCAAGCTGCCTTTTCCAGTCTAGAGGCCACCCAGCTTGCCAGCCTCCTCCAGGAGATCAGCAGCCCTATTGATTTAGGTGCAGATGATTTAGTTTTTTTTTTCTTTTACAGAATATTAACTAAAGTTTGATGATAAGCAGAAGGAGCACTTACAAATTTCTAATTTCTTCCTTTGGTCCTTGTAACCTGCAGGTCCACCCAGCTATGTGCCAGCAACATCTTTCTTGCAGAATGCAGGCCAAGCACATCTTATTAGCCAGTGTGAGGCGCTGGAGGCGGAGGTGAGCGCTCTGTTACAGCAGCGGCGCTCTCAGCTGTGTGGCTGTCTCGAGCACCTGCACAGCTATGCCACCGTGGCCTTGCTGTATCCCCGTGCGGTGCTGCTCAGGCACAGAGTTCACACGTGGAAACAGTGGATGGAGGAGCTGGTTTGTGACATGACTGTCGATCACTGCCAGACTGTCTATCACCAGTAAGTGCAACTACTGTTGTCTCTCGAGTTCACTATCAGTCAAAGATATGGTAGATACTTTTTGGCTGCTTTTTCTTCAATAACTGGTCCAACTTCAAATAATAAAAAACGGTAACATTTTATAATTACTCTACCATTCAAAAGTTTGGTCTCTGTAAGATTTTTAAAAATGTTTTTAAAAGACGTTTCACGCTCATTGTAATCCATTTTTTAATTTGTAATAACAAAGGTTTCCTTGACTTTTCCATGTCCTTTAATCAGATATCATAAAAATCCTCTTTTCTTGTCAGGTATGAAATGCAGTTTGCACCCCACACCCCTCCTGCCACATGTCAGTTCCTGTCTAGCATCGAGATGGCGCTGCAGCACCACGCAGCAGAAACCAACACTCGACTGATGCGGCAGGTAGAGCGTCTGAAGGCAGAGGGCGCCGGTGTGCCCGTTTGTGAGGAGCAGCTGCAGGAGATAGAGCGCTGTATCAAAGTCTTCCTGCACGAGGATGCTGAGCTCGGGTCCTTCAGTCTAGCCGGCATCATCGTCTCTGCCCTCTGTGCCCTCATCAGGTCTGAATCTTTAGCTTAAAAAAAACTCTTTTGTTGCCGATATAATTTTCTGGTCCTCCATACCCAAACCCTTTTTTTTTTTTTCAATGATCTTAAAGGATTAAAAAAATTCAGTGTTTCTGTGCTTTGCAGGCGTAACCTGGTGATGGAGGGAGCTGCAGCCAGTGCCGGAGAGCAGCTGGTGGAGCTGACGTCTCGTGATGGTGCCTGGTTCCTGGAAGAGCTCTGCAGTATGAGTGGAAACATCACATGTCTTGTGCAACTTTTGCAGCAGTGCCAGCTTCTGTCACATGACCTGGATATCCTCAGTCTTGCCGAGACTTTGCAAGTTGTCTACCTGGCCAATGGTGTCTACACCTGCCTTCAGGTAATTTTGTTAGTGTTTAATGGTATTCAGTGGTTTCAGTGATGGTTTTTCCTCCTCTCCAACATTTTTTTAATATTTGAAGGAGCTCAACACAAACTTCCGTCAGATCATCTTCCCAGAGGCTCTGCGCTGCATGCTGAAGGGAGAAAATACATTAGAGACCATGCTAGCGGAGCTCGATGCGCTTATCGATCAGTGCGCAGATGGGGTTTCGCTGCAGGGACTGGGGGAGGTTCTGCAAGCTCACCTTCGTAACACCGCCATGGGCCTGGAGGAGGATCCAGATGACCACTATCTGGATATCACCAGGTAACATGGACAATAGAAATATTTACTAAGCAGTGTGTGATGAATCGTTAAAACAACAATTACGATATTATCGCAGACAATATATATCGCACACCCCTAGTGATGAAGCTTGTTATTCTTTTTGGATGGACTTGAACTTTGTGTCGTTGTTTTGTGTGTTGTTGTTTCAGGGATTTACGGGCCCAGTACTCAGAACTGATCCAGCCACGCAGCATGGAGAGCTCCGTGCAGGAAACGCCCAAGATGAGTGCCGGTCAGATGTTGTTGGTAGCTTTTGATGGCATGTTTGCACAGCTGGAGACTGCTTTTGGACTTCTGATTGACAAGGTAAAAAATACTGATTTGTAAAATATATGGTAGTTTGTAAATCCTGTTTGGATAGGGGTGTAATATTGTCTAATATTTGACCACCTGAGTCTGATGTACAGTTGAGATGTTCTGTAAACCTAAACAATGTTTCAAAGAATACAGATGTGAGGGATGTTTTTTCCTCAGTCTGAGAAGTATACACATCAGTTAAATGCCATATGGAGTTTTGTTATGATAGTAATATCTTTCATTGATTTTAGTTTATATAATTTTGTGTCTTCTTTAATAGAATAAACCATATTTTCAATGTTTTTGATGCTATTATTATTGTGTATTCATATTGAATGGATTCCATGAAAACAACAGATTGTGACCACAAACAATTGAAGTGGAGAAAGATAAAAAATAAAAAAAAAAGCATATGACTACGGGGTGGTGAGGTTTATTAGATTAGAGTGGTGTCTAAATGAATCCTGTTCTCCCCTCTAGCTGAACTCTATGGATGTGCCTGCTGCCTGGAGAAAGGTGGATGTGATTCGGGAGTCCAGAGCTACGCAGGTCCATTTCTTTGATAATGTGCAGACCAGGCAGGTCTTGGATGAGATTTTCTTCCTGAAGAGACTCCAGACCATCCGAGACTTCTTCCGTTTGTGCGGATCATTTGCACAGACGCTATCTGGTAAACATCTAATAGATATTTCTCAATATTAGGAATGACACATGAATAAAGGAAGGAGTACAAAGTAGCACACAAGAGTAGCATGTCATTGTGCAGAATCAGGCTTTTTATTAGACACCCTTCTCATTTTTTCTAATAGGAACGTGTCCTACACCCACTGATGAGCCTCTACCCTCTAATGGCCCAGTACCCATAGTGAAACCCATGTACCGAGGCTCCACTGTAGTGAGCGAGGACCAGATGATGCGGCCCATCAAAGCCTTCACGGCAGACTTTGTGAGGCAGATGCTAATGGGGCTCCCCACCCAGGCTCTGGGCCTAGCCATTTGCAGTGCTCTCAGTGCCCTCGGCATGGATCTCATAGCCCAGGTGGAGGCCAAGGACTTTGGCGCTGAGGGGAAAGTGTCTATGGATGATCTGTGCAAGAAAGCAGTAGAGCAAGGGGTGCAGGCAGGACGGATATCCCAGCTGCTGCTCAATAGGGCCACAGTGCTGGCCAGCTCCTACGACACAGCCTGGAAAAAACTGGACCTGGTACGACGTCTAGAAGTCAGCATTGAAGCTTATAAGGTCAGCCTGCAGAGGACTCAGCTTCACATCACTATGTTCCAGGTAAGAACTGGTACTCCATTTACAAAATAATACTATAGATTGCACCGGAATGACCCATGTAATTTTACAAAGCAGCAGTAAATGTGACCTTTACCTTCTGATCTCTGTTATTAGTGGCAGCATGAGGACATTCTCGGTGCGAGGACGCAGCCCATGACCGTCAGTCCCCCGCCTCGTTCCATCATCCTCAGCAACATGAAGAAGAAGCTCTACAAACTCAGTCAGGATGAAGCTTCTATTGGCAGCGTTCAGGTTAAAGCCATTGCACGTTTTGGAGAACATGTCAAAGTGAAATAGAAACCTTATAATCTAAACCGTGTTGGGTTTTGTGTTGCAGGAGAAGTTGGCAGGTCTAGAGGGCAGCATAGAGCAGAGGCTGAAGTGGGCCGGTGGTGCAAACCCTGCACTCGCCCCAGTGCTGCAGGACTTTGAGGCCACTATAGCAGAACGCCGTGCCCTGGTTTTGAAGGAGAGTCAGCGTGCCAACCAGGTTACTTTTCTCTGCAGCACCATTCTCAACTTCGAAGGTCTGCGTACCCGCACTCCAGAAGCCTTGAACATGGATGCCACACTTTTTGAACTTGTGAAACGGTGTCAGACAACCTGTTCCTATGCTGCCCAGTTCAGCACCTCCGTTTCCTCTCTGGAACTTCAGCTGCTGCTTAGACTGGTGAGACTTGCTGGATTTTCAAATGTATTTTTATTGGTATATACACTATATACACAACCATTCAAAAGTTGGAGTCAGTAAGACACCCCCCCCCCCCCAAAAAAAACCTCTCACTTTTTTTTAATGAAGTTTGATAAAAATAAAAAAATTTAAATACAGTAAAAATAGTAATATTGTGAATATTGCAATAGTTTTAAAATGTATTCCTGTAATGGCAAAGCTGAATTTTCAGCTTTCACTTGTATGATTTAAAACAATTTATTTTAGTTTCTGGCTTTTTATTTTAAATGTATTTAGTCAAAAATAAACCTGATTACCTGTATATTCTGTCTACTTCTGAATTTGAAACCATTTCACCATAATCTGTTGTTGTGCTCTGTTTTTAATTGAAAAGCATTGGATTGTCTTTGCAGAGTCCTGCCATGGATCTGTCCATTGGTGGGCCTGAGTGGCTTGTGTACGCACAGAATCACCTCACCCAGGAGATGTCCAGTCAGAGAGCCATGCAGGAGGAAAGAGAGCAGCAGCTGGAGAGAGTGACCGAAACCCTTCAGCTGCTGGTGGACTCCATTAAAGGCATCCTGTCCAATCACAACCGCCAACTTGCTGATGTTAAGCACCTCCTGCGTGCCATGGCAAAGGTATTTAATTCTCTGATGCAAAATGGTTGACATGTTTCGTTTATTGGCCACCTCTAACTGCTGACAAAGTGGTTTTAAATGTTATAGAATATCTTTCTTTTGTGTACACACTAATGTTAGTTGCTTTTCAATTTGGCAGGATGAGGAAAATGCCCTTGCAGAGGGAGAGGAAGTGACTTATGAGGGCAGCGTGCGTCAGTTCCTGTCAGAATACAAGGCATGGCAGGATAATGTGCAGATAGTACTTTTCACGGCAGTGCAAGCTACAGGTCAACCACGCAGCCAGGAGCAGGTTGAGCTGCTGCAGGAGATCCCTGCCACCCTGAAGGAGCTAAAGGTTCAGAGCCAGAGGTTAGCATTTGTGCTGGATTCAGAACACAACTTGTAAGTCTTCAAGAGTTTTTTTTTTTTTTTGGTTAAACATTTTATTTTATTTTTCCTTAGCATCTACAATGGCTTGGTGAGCTTTCATGTCCCAGAATGCCCGCAAAGCACTTCCTCGAAACTTTGGGACCCCAGTGGACACTCCCCCCAGCACTCTGATGATCAACAGTAAAGGACTGGCCCCAAGCCCCAAAAGAGCCGTGCGGGATCCCAAAACTGGGAGAGGTCAGTTGTGATGCAGATCAGAGGTCGACCCATATGGGTTTTTCACTGGCCGATGCCAATATTTAGAAATCAGGGCAGCCGATGGCCGATATATGATGCCGATTTTTTTGGCAGATATGTTTGGCCGATTTTCTTTTTTTTTTCTTTTTTTTTCCCCTTCATCTCATAAAAGTGAGTTTGAGTGAATGATTATTGCAGGGTACAAGATAGTAATAGTAGTAGTAGCCCAATCACCGGTGTTTCCCACAGACTTGCAAATGCAAATTCATTCTCCGCCAGCAGGAGGCACTGTTGGAGCGGGAAATATAGCGGTTTCCCCGGTAATGGCTGTAATCAAATGAGCACTGCGAAAGTTAACGTGCACGTTATAATCAGCCCAGAAGTTTCGTCTGAACTGCATCGTTTCTACTTTCACATGCAAATGGCTTGTTGCACTTATGAATATGATAACTTTCCGGCATCAATTCTAGTAGGGTAAAACGTAATTACGCTTTCGAAACGGTCTGTTTTGCCCGGTCATCATTAGCTGAAGCTGTGTCTGAACAAGAAGCAGCTGCAGAGTGTAAGCTGCTCACGCAGCCAGAGAGATTCTCCGGTGATCTGCAACAACGCTTAGCTGCCTGCAGATGCGCCTGCCTATAAATCGGCCTAATTTGCAGCACAATTGGCTGATGCCGATTAATTAAAAAATGCCAAAAATTGGCTGATCGACACTGGGGTTACACCCCTACTCTTTACGAGAAGTGCCATGGGAGCCACAGAGAGTCAGGGCCTCGGTTTAACATCTCATCCGAAGGAAAATGCCATGTAAACTTTTCTGAAAACAGTAAGTTTCCCTCAGAGATGTATTCATATAAACCCCCAATTCAATATTTAGGATTTTTTTTTCCAATATTTTGTGTCATGGACAGTGAGCTGCTCTGCCTGCTACAGTATTTTTTCCTCTTTGCGTCCATCTTCAGCATCTCTGGCCTCTGTTAACGGCCGTTTACACGCTTAACTTGAAGCACTTCACTGATCAGACAACTTAAGAAATGCATTATCGATTTGAAGCTTTGCTAAGATCACTGATCAGCTGTTTTTCCTTCAGCCGTGCAAGAGAGGAATTCCTATGCTGTTAGTGTGTGGAAGAGGGTGAAGGCCAAACTGGAAGGGAGAGATCTGGACCCTAACAGGAGAATGAGCGTCACTGAGCAGGTTAGCATTCCTCCTTTACATATACAGCCTTACTACTACTGTTTGTATTGTATTGTATTGTATTTGTCATCTTGCTCTCTTTAAGGTGGATTATGTCATCAAGGAGGCGACAAACTTGGACAACCTGGCACAGTTGTACGAGGGATGGACAGCATGGGTGTGAACGGGATCCTTGTAGATCACTTTGGTCCAGCGAGGGTAGAAATCCACTGGGTCTGGGGCAATGGAGCCACAGAGCACCATGCAGGAAAGGGGGGGGGTGTAGAGAGCCTCCCTCTGGCCCACACCGGATCCCCGTAGCACAGCTACACCCGGCGATCCAGCTAACACAATGAAATGGGTCTGCATCTGTCTCCCCAAGATGTGTGGGGAGCTCACCAAGATGGGGAGGCGGGGTGGGGTGGACAAGGCACATGCGGCTTGAACTACCCCCCCAACCAACCCCTGTATCAACACCAACAAATAAACGTCTGTCAACTATCAAAACTAATAGGATTTGCCACAGGGAAAATTTGCAGGAGTTTATCCACTCTTAGAGCAAAGGTCTGCGGTAATTAGCGAGTTTCTAGACTGCATTTGTGCGAGAGTGGAGGGAAAGGGTGATCCGGTCTTGGAGGGATCCTATGGCCTCTGTTTTTGAATGGCTCTGGGTCAGGCACGACTTGCGGCTGGGTTGTCTCCTGCTGGAGCGGGTGTGGAGGGCTGTGTGACCAGAAGGCTCAAAGGACTCCATTTGAAGCCAGAAGGCCTTTGGCAGACCTTAGAGTTCGTTCTTAACCACAAAAAAGACCTTTTCCCTTCAAGTATATATAGAAAACGCTGCAAAATGAACTTTTTACACCTTCACCAATGTACTGCACAGATTTCACAATTAAAAGGCAAATCGCAAAGTGGCTTTGGGAACATTCACTGTCACGTGTTTCTGAATGTTTGGCACAATGAATGATGTGCTTGGAGTTGGTAAGTGCTCAGTCTCTGATTTGATCGTTGAGTTCGTTGCTTTTTTTCTTAGTATGCATCTCTGATCTTGTTTGTGTATTGTAGATTCTTTCTCCCTTTCCTTCTTTGCTATGGATTTAGTCTAGATTGCTCCTTTTTTTGACTTGCCTGTGGAAGTGTATCATCGCTGATGCATGTCCCCATTAAAGCTTGCGTTTTACTGATCTTGACCTAGTTTTACATTTTTAGTGGGAGAAATAAGTAAAGGAATAGTGATGTGGTGATGGTTACAATATTGTTGTCTCTTAATGGTTTTACTCCACTTTGTTGGTCAAATAAAACTCTAATTAAATCTCCGTGTTCTTTCTTAAAGTGTTTGCTGTATTTGTTCATGTTTGTCTGATTTTTAGACTTTTGACATGTTCATACTTAAATTTCATTTTTAACAGTGAAATTGTTTAGACACTCTTTAGGCTTGTCACAGCAATTCACACAGTCTACCTTCTGTACTGCAATTACATTTTTTTTTTTCAGGAACAAGGCTTCATTACCCAGTATTAAAAGCAGTGCTGTGTCTCCTTTTCATAATTGGTTAACTATTACAAGTTGTTGCTTAACTTTGGGTTAATAGTAACCTGATATTGAAAACCTAATTGTTTTTTTAGCATGACACATTTTGCATCCAATTATTAGTAAATGTAGGTTGTTTTTACTTGTTGCTTTAACAGATAATGAGACTTGGATTTGACCTCAGTCATAATAAAATGAAACATTATTTTGATAGTATGTTGAAATGTTCAATTGTAGTGAAAACTATATTATGTTATTATGGTTTAAAACTATAAGCTGTATTAATTTACCAAAAACTAACATTTAGCGCCATCCCAGGTTGAGGCTGCCTTCAGTCTTCTCCATTTGTTTTCACATGATTGTACACCATTACAAATCTGGATCCTCTCTTTAGCATTGTTTGAAGAAATATAAATCTTATTCCATTTTTCTCAAGGTTTATGATTTATAGTTAATGCATTTTTTTAAGTTCAGCCATTCAACCCTGTTAAGCATTTCACCAAATAAAGTGTACGCACCTTTCACTGATCATTTGTTAGGGGAAATGTCTTTACCATTTTAGGCCCTGTACCATATTTGTGAACATTTTCCCATTTTATTTTGATAATGAACTACATTTCCCATGAGTCCTTGTGTTCCGAGTTTCAGATAAAAACATCCTGCAAATATCGGTCGGTTCGGTTGGCAGACTGCGGTAGTACAGGGGAGGCGCGTTCATATAATCGTGCTGTCTGAGGAACACAAATTCTGAAATACACCAAAATAAACCATGGCTGAGGGTGATAATAAAAGTGCAAATCTGTTGGTAAGTGGCAGTTCGCCTGCTGTCAAAATGTATATCTTATTGTGTTTGTCTTCTTTAGCAATAGACTTCTACTGCTGTCACAATCTTAAACCGATTTAAAAAAGGCTTGACAGGGCACCATAAGGCTTAATCTGTCTTATATTTTTAAATGTTGGTCGTGTGAATGCAGCGAATAGAACGTAAACACGACACGATATATGAACTGCGTGATAAGATGTTAGCAAGCTAATTCAGTGCTAACGAAACGGATTACTCTAGGCTATATCTAGCGTCTTACTAAATGTTTTTATGGAGAATGGATTTGTTTGTTATATATTTAATATATTGAAGTTTGTAATAAGTATTTGCTTTTGATAAATATTTGTAAGTTGCATGAGCGTTGCTGGAGATAAGCTAGTTAGGCGAAAGTCTTTATATCATGGTCTACCGTGGTCATTTTTTTAGAGATTGGTTGTAAAGTCACCAAGAATTCTGGTTGAAGTTTATGCTGTAGCCTTTTAAAATACACTTTAAACTTCTAACTACCCATATTTTTACATGATATCCCAGATAAAGGAATTGACTGGGCTGACCCTTTAAACTTGGCCTGCTGGTCTGAACACAGGATTGCACAGTCGCTGTCTTTAAAGCCATTTATGTACTCCTCTCATACATCATATATGTTAACAACTAAAATATATCTCTGATAAGCTAATAATTCTCGTTGGTGTCTATTTTAACATTCCTGACGTTCCAGCTGGACGTGCCCATCCCATGACTTTCATGACACTCCCATTGCGCAACAATTTCTGATAAAGCCATGTCATCTGTTGTAAGAGAACTCATTGTTTTGACACTGTTACTGACTAAAAGCTTTTCTCTAGGCTCAAGAGACGAGTCAGCTGGAAGAGCAGCTTCAAGGATGGGGAGAGGTCATCCTGGCTGGAGATCAGGTCCTGCGCTGGGAGAAGCCGTGGTACCCAGCAGCATTAGTGGGCGCCACCACAATCCTGTTCATGTGAGTCTGCGGTTCATAGCATGCATTAGAGCTACTTCTTGACTTAAGGCCTAATCTTTCACTTTAGTTAATTGGATAAGGTTAAAGGATTAGTTCACTTCCAGAATAAAAATTTCCTGATAATTTACTCACCCCCATGTCATCCAAGATGTTCATGTCTTTCTTTCTTCAGTCGCAAAGAAATTAATGTTTTTGAGGAAAACATTCCAGGATTTTTCTCCATATAATGGCTTCAATGTGGACCGGACAGGTTGAAGGTCCAAATTGCAGTTTCAAAGGGCTCTACATGATCCCAGCAGAGGAATAAGGGTCTTATCTAACGAAACGATCTGTCATTTTCTAAAAAAAAAAAAAAAATGTATATACTTTTTAACCACAAATGCTCGTCTTGCACCAGGGCTGTGTATCACCAACAATGTCACGATACGATACGTATCACGATACTAAAGATACAATGCGTATCACGATACGGGTCAATTTTGGAATTACATTTATTTTGAGCAGAATTTCGTGAAGGTAATATTTGTTTATTGTACTTTGAATAGCCAGTGTTATAACGGTTTTGATAACTGAAAAACTATTTTGCTTTGTCATTGACAAACAACAATATAAGTGAAATAAAATAAATAATAAAAAAACTTGGAATAGATCTTCCTTCTGCTTTTTAAGTCTCTGACTCAATAACTTAAGTATAATGCCAAGTGCTGAAACATGTCAACAAGGCTCAATGGCTGAACAAAACTTGAAACATATTCCATAAAAGCAACAAAAAAAAAAACGAACGATCTTAACTTTCTCAAACACTTCACATTTTTAAACACCACATTTTGGTC